AGGTATTTCATCTAAATGGAATCATATATGTGGATTCTTTGTTGGAGGGGGGCAGAGTCTCAGTGTCTCAGTGTGTTGCTCAGGCTGGTCTTGGACTCTGATTCAAATGATCCTCTTGCCTCAGCCTCCTGAATAGCTGGGACAACAGGTGGCACATGTCCAGCCTAGACTTATTTATCTCCTTTACGATACCCTGTGACACCTCCTGCTGAACTACAACCTTCCTCTAAATAGACGCCTTGTTTTTCTCGTTATCTATGCCACTTAGCAATAAAATAATGAATAATCATAATAATGTGAGCCTATGCCAAGAGCTTTGAACCTCTAATTACATGCATGTCTCATTTCATTTGTTGAAACCCCCCCCCTTTTTTTTTTTGGTTGTGGGGCTTGAACTCTGGGCCTGGGCATTTTCCCTCAGCTCTTCAGTTCAAGGCTAGCACTCTACCACTTGAGCCACAGTGCCACTTCTGGCTTTTTCTATTTATGTGGTGCTGAGGAATCAAACCCAGGCCCCATGCATGCAAGGCAAGCACTCTACTGAGCCACCTTCCCAGCCTGTTGAACCCCTTTGAGACATAAATTATTTGTCTCCTTTTTATGTTTTTTTTTTTTTTGTCGGTCGTGGGGCTTGAACTCTGGGCCTGGGCGCTGTCCCTCAGCTCTTCAGCTCAAGGCGAGCGCTCTACCACTTGAGCTACAGCACCACTTCCGGTTTTCTGCTGGTTTATTGGAGATAGGAGTCTCACGGTCTCTCCTGCCCGGGCTGGCTTTGAACCGCGATCCTCAGATCTCAGCCTCCTGAGTAGCTAGGATTACAGGCGTGAGCCACCAGTGCCTGGCTTTTGTCTCCTTTTTATAGAAGAGACTGGGAAGGTGGGGGCTGGGAAGGTGGCTCAGTGGTAGAGCGCTTGCCTTGCATGCTTGAGGCCCTGGGTTTGATTCCTCAGCACCACATAAGCAAAAAGAAAAAAGCCGGAAGTGGCGCTGTGGCTCAAGTGGTAGAGCGCTAGCCTTGAGCTGAAGAGCTGAGGGACAGCACCCAGGCCCAGAGTTCAGGCCCCACTACCGGACCCCCCCCAAAAAAAAAGACTGAGGCTCTGAGTGGCTAAACCACGTCAGCTGCAAGTGGCAGAACCAAGATTCACACCTGGATCTCTTACCTCCAGAGTTCAGCTCACAACTATCACGTGGTCTCTCTTCCCAGTGGGAAGCTTCCCTCCTTCCCAGAGGACACCAAAGTCCTCTTTTGCTGGCTCAAGGTCGACCCATCCCCCTGTACACTTGACTTCTCTCTCCATCACTTCTAGAAACTCATTCAACCCTCCTCTGTGGTGGAGTGTCTTCTTCCAACACAGGCAGTTAAATAAGCACTGTAGTGCACATAAAGCACTTCAATACATGAAGAGCATCATGCATTTGTGGCTGTGTTCAGTAAATATTTACTGAGCCATCTACTCAGTTCCAAGCACTATGGGAGGCAGCCCCTTCTTGCAGGCCTCATTCTTCCCTGGGTCTCCCCCTCCCCCACCCCCACCCCCCTCCAGAACAGGGAAAGGCAGAAGAGTTGTTCAAACATGCATGAAGGCTTGTTTGTGTGCTATGGTTTCTGGTAAGATTCCAGAGAGATACAGTGGCTTTCTTAAGATCACACAGCAACTGTGTGAGCAACTGGACAGGCATGAAGTTGCTGCTGCTGCTGCTGCCTGGCAATGGCTGACTCTCCCCAGAGGTGGCAGTTGGCATGCACGGCCAAGGCAAGACTTGGGGTAAGCTGGGCGCAGAGTCCAAGAGGCGTATTGGCTCTTTCCAAAGGGGAGAGGGTGAGACCCCCCAAGATCTCCCTCATCGCCCCACATTCCAACTCCCACCTTAGAGTAAGAGGGACTCAAAGAGGAAAAGACATGGACAGATCATAGAGGACTGTCGAGAGTCCTCGGTGAGGGATGGGGCGGGGGGCTTCCCTCCCTGGAGGGGAGGGCTTTCCAGAGGTGCTAATGGGGCAGAAAGCCGTGAGCTCCGATGATGTGGGGACCTGGGAGGGTGGTCGGGCTGTGAGAGCAAGTGCTCAGATCGGGGGCTGTGATGGGGGGGGGCTCTGAGCGGAGGCGCGGGATTCCATAGTGTGGGGGGGATACAGCTAGGAGATGGAGGCTCAGGAGGGGATAAGCGGTGGGGCCGAGGAGTGGTGGGAACTTGGGTGTCGAGTTCCAGGCCCTACATGAAGGGTAAGGGTTATGGGGTCTCCATGAGAAGCCTGGGGTCTCAGAGAGAGAGAAGGGGGCTCAGGAAAGGTTCCCGGTGCTGGCTGAGAAGGCAATCTGCAAAGCCAGCCCCTGGGGGGAGGCGGGCGCCCCCTCCTTCTCCCGCCCCCATATCACCCCCCGCCCGGGACTGCGGCGCAGGCGCGAAGCAAACCCACTTTTGCTCGGTACGGGCTCCAGCCCCAGCTCCTGCTCGCTCGCCGGAAACAGCAGGCGGATCGGATAGGTGAGCTCAGCCCCCCGCTCCGCGCCCGACCCCTGCGCCGCGGTGTCTGCGGCTGCAGCAGCCCCACCTCCTCCCAGAGCTCCGGCTCCGGCTGGCCCGCCTCGGGCAGGACGTCTGCGCCCGGGCCTCGGGCTCTGGGAAGTCGGGGGGGGGCGGGGGGAGTGTGGGGGGGGGTCCCAGGGAAGTAGAGGGGACCGGGACAGCATCAGGCCTAGCGCCCCTCGGCACCGTAGGGTTCATGGACCTAGGCGAGGCTTCAAAAGCCAGATCCCCCTACACCTGTCGAAATCCCCATGTCTACTTTGCCCTGCCTCAGTTTCCCTCTAGGGAAGGGTCGTAATTAATTTCGTCTAAAGGAGGCATGTTCAGATTAGGGGGAAAAATGGTGGTGTAGGGAGGGCCACCCCCGGCGGGGAAGGACTCCTCTTCTCCCCGCCTGGGCAGCGTAGGGCTCAGGAGTGGGCGGGGGTGGGTGGGGGCTATCTGGGGACGACAATACCAAGCGCTGCGGAGACGACAAATTCTACCCATCTTCAGGCCCTCGGGCTCGTCACCTCCTCCCTGCTCCTCCTCCGCAGTGCACCCCCCACCCCGACGCCGCAGCCCCCTCCTCTTCCCGCTCCCCTTCCACCAAGCCCTTTCCCCCTCCCCCCCCCCCGCTGCGGGCGAGGGACCTCCCTTGCGGTTCCCATGGCAACCCGCGGGATCTTCAGCATCCTCTCCCTCCTAGCCTCCCCTCTCACCCGCTAGACTCCTCCCGGCAACCCTAAAATTGAGGGGGGGGCCCAGACCAAGGGGGCGGGGCCAGGCCCAGGGGAACGTCGTCAAGGTCACCTTCCTTCTCCCGAGGCGGCGAGACTGATTGATTACATACATTTGGGGCGGGTGAGCCGTGAATTAAAGGGGAGCGCCTGTCTCGAGCCCACACTCCCCCCCTCCCGCAGTTCCCTCTACGCCCCCTAACCTGAGGTCTCCCATTAATGCTTGCTGCTCCTTCCCAGATCGCCCCTGGGGCGCTCATTCATTTTTCTGCACCCGGCATCCCCTGCGCATCTGCTTTGGGGCAGCCGTTGCGCAGGCCACGCCCTCTTCCACCTCAGTGGCCACGCCTCCCCCGTCGCGCTGGCTCCGCCCCCACTCCCCACCTGATCCTTGCTCCAACCCTCTGGCCACCTCCTTCTCAGTCTTTCTTTAGCTCCTGCCATTTCCAGCTCTATCACTACACACACACACATACACACACATTCCCCTTTTTCCTCTTCCTTCCATTCAACTATGAAGAGAAGAGGATAGAAAGCCTCGATCTGTGAACGGGCTTTATTGACAAGCAAGGAAGGCTGTGTACTTGTGTGACTTGGAGGGTTTCCAAGAAACACTCCCAAATGTGTGTGCATGTATCTCTAATATGTGTGTGTACATCTGTGTGTTTACATATGTATTTGTGTGTGTGTGCGTGTGTGTAGTGGGGGAGTTCTCTGTGCTGCCTGTGCTGGTGTGTCTAGGCAGGAATGAAAGCCTCACTGACTGGCAGGGAGAGAGGCTGGGATGCTTCTTACCCTTCAGAGCAAGCACGCTTTTTATTTTGTTGGAATCTGCTTAGAAAGGCTGAGGCCTTGATGCAGGAGGGTGGGGACAGAGCCCAGTCTCTTCCCCTGGCTTTGGTTTGAGCCCTAAATGGCAGATCTCCCATCCCCCAGGCTTCAGGCTCTTGGTCTGTGAACAAAGGGTTCTTAAGTGTTCTTTTTTTTGGGGGGGTCCGGTTGTGGGGCCTGAACTCTGGGCCTGGGCGCTGTCCCTCAGCTCTTCAGCTCAAGGCTAGCGCTCTACCACTTGAGCCACAGCACCACTTCCGACTTTTTTCTTTTTGCTTATGTGATGCTGAGGAATCGAACCCAGAGCCCCATGCATGCAAGGCAAGCGCTCTACCACTGAGCCACCTTCCCAGCACCCTTAAGTGTTCTTTTTCTGTAAGTCTAGCATCCCTTAATTCCGAGGGCCCTTAAATTTCACCTTCTATGAAATGACTAAATCCTTGGAGGCTATGGAGAGAAATCCTTTGGGGCCTTGGAGACTTCAGCCCATTGGGCAAGAGTCAGCTATGATAATACCCCCTAGGAGAGGCTCTGAAGGGAGGGAAACATAGGATCTTTCACTTTTGGGCTAGGGAGCAACCAAGAGTTCAGAATGGAAATGATGGCAAAGGAATTTCAGTAATTGTTCCAGGAGCTACCCTTAGTCAGCACTAAACACAGTGAGAGAAAGTGGTAGGCCTGCGGCTCCGATCTAGAGTCCCACATTCCAGGCACAGAGTGACCTCCACAGTAAGCTTACACAAGGCTCACTGGTCACTGGGCGAAGCACTCAGGGATCTGCTCATTCAGAGTACTCAGGGAAATGGAGAGAGAGATCTGGAAGGCCTGGCTGGCTCATGAGGGTGGGGCATTCAGGATGAGAGGAAATTAAGGCTCCCACTGACCCTCTGGCAGCTGCATCTGTGCCCACAGGGATCCATGATGCTGAGCTGCAGCCGTTCCTGTGCTTGTAGCCATGGCAGCAATGCTGAGGAGAGCAAGTGGTACGGAGTCCGCTCCTATCTGCACCTCTTCTATGAAGATTGTGCAGGAACTGCTCTCAGCGACGACCCTGAAGGACCCCCAGTCCTGTGTCCCCGCCAACCCTGGCCCTCACTGTGCTGGAAGGTAAGGCCAGAGGGGTTCCTGTGGCTTTATGAGGACATAAGACTGGATTTAGGACTCAGAAGACAGAAACAAAAGCAGATAATGATGTAGTAAGAAGTCCTGCATACTTAAGCAACAGAAAACCCAACTCAAACAAGTTCTAACAATAAAGCTCATTTTCTAGGAGAGGCAAGAGGTTAAGGGCCTACAGGTAAAGTTTGATCCAGAAACGCACCCCCCCCTTTTTTTTTTATTGTGAAAATACCTTACAGAGGAGTTACAATTACATGGGCAGGATAATGAGTACAATTTTTTTTTTTGGTCCAGTCGTGGGGCCTGAACTCTGGGCCTGGGTGCTGTCCCTCAGCTCTTCAGCTCAAGGCTAGCACTCTACCACTTGAGGGCCTTTTCTGCTTATGTGGTGCTGAGGAATTGAACTCAGGGCCTCATGCTTGCAAGGCAAGCACTCTACCACTGAGCCACCTTCCCAGCCCAATGAGTACAATTTTTTATCAAGCATTGTTGCCTCCTCCTTTATTTCCCCTTCCTATCCCTTCCCATCTTTCTTCCCCTCCTGCCTCCCCATCTCCCCCACCCTTTTTTTTTCTTTTTTTTGCGGTCGTGGGACTTGAACTCTGGGCCTGGGCGCTGTCCCTCAGCTCTTCAGTTCAAGGCTAGCGCTCTACCACTTGAGCTACAGCGCCACTTCCGGTTTTCTAGTGGTTTATTAGAGATAGGAGTCTCACGGTCTCTCCTGCCCGGGCTGGCTTTGAACCGAGATCCTCAGATCTCAGCCTCCTGAGTAGCTAGGATTACAGGCGTGAGCCACCAGCGCCCGGCCCACCCTTTTTTTTTTTTAGTCAGTCGTGGAGCTCTAACTCAGAGCCTGGATGTTTCTGGATGAGCTCTTTTGCTCCAGCCTAGGACTGAAGGAAGGAAGGATATTCCATGTTCCTGGCTGGGTAGTAAGACTCAATATTGTCCAGTCACTTCTTCCCAACCTGACCATAGATTCAACAGAATTCTAGTCAGAATCCCAGCAAATTGTTTTTTTTTTGTTGTTGTTGTTTTTGTTTTTGGTCAGTCATGGGGCTTGAACTCTGGGCCTGGGCACTGTCCCTCAGCTCTTCAGCTCAAGGCTAGCACTCTACGACTTGAGCCACAGTTCCACTTCCGGCCTTTTCTGCTTATGTGGTGCTGAGGAATTGAACTCAGGGCCTCATGCTTGCAAGGCAAGCACTCTACCACTGAGCCACCTTCCCAGCCTCCCTGCCCCCGCCCCCTGCAAATTGTTTTGTGAATATCAACAAAGATAGCCAGAAATTAAAAACATGTTATCAGGCAGGTATAGTGGTACACACCTGCAATTCCAACATTCCAGAGGCTGAGACAGGAGGACCAGGAATTCTAGGACAGCCTGGGTTACAGAGGTACCAACTTATACACAAGAAGATAGAGGAGCCGGGCACCGGTGGCTTACACCTATGCTCAGGAGGCTGAGATCTGAGGATCACAGTTCAAAGCCAGCCCACACAGGAAAGTCTGTGAAACTCTTATCTCCAATTAACCACCAGAAAAACCAGAAGTGGTGCTGTGGCTCAAATGGTAGAGCACTTGCCTTAAGCTGAAGAGCTCAGGGACAGCGCTCAGGTCCTGAGTTCAAGCCCCACAACTGAGAAGGAGGAGGAAGAGGAGGAGGAGGGGAAGGAGGAGGGGGAGAAGAAGAAGAAGAAGAGGAAGAAAAAGAGGAGGAGGAGGAGAATTGCAGTTCAAAACCAGCCTGGGCAGGAAAGTCTGTGAGACTCTTTTTTTTTGTCGGTCGTGGGGCCTGAACTCAGGGACTGAGTGCTGTCCCTCAGCTCTTCAGCTCAAGGCTAGCTCTCTACCACTAGAGCCATAGCACCACTTTTGGCTTGTTCTGCTTACGTGGTTCTGAGGAATTGAACCCAGGGCCTCATGCATGGGAGGCAAGCACTCTACCATTTAGCCATCTTCCTGGCTCTATGAGACTCTTTTATTTCCAATTAACCACCAGAAAACCAAAAGTGGTGCTGTGGCCCAAAGTAGTAGAGCACTAGTCTTGAATACATAAGCTCAGGAACAGCACTCAGGTCCTAAGCTCAAGCCCTGTAACTGACCAAAAAAAAAAAAAGACTTCTAGGACAAGGTATGTATTTATATATTCTAAGTAGCACTCCAGAGGATCTTGGGATCTTGAGTTTGAGGCCAGCCTGATTCATACAGGGAAAAAAAATCTATGTTTAAGCACTGTACTAGGCTCTTGGGGGCACAGAATTTAGGAAAACCTGGTCCTTGAAGAACTCCTAGCTGTGGTCTAGTCATTCAGCAAGCATGTGCAGACAACAGATAAGCCCAGGTATAGTCTCTACACTCATAGGGCTCTCAGTCTATTGGAACAGACAAACATTATGTTGCTAGGAACTAAAATGCTTTTCCAAGTGTGCTGTGAGGTGGATGACCTGAGGGATAGATGGGCACAAAGTGGGACACATGCCCAGATTGTAGGCATCCTGGAAGGTGTCCCTAAGGAGGGGGGTTTGGGATGAGACCTGAGGGTACTTAGAAGAAAGGACAAGGGAATAGGATAGAGCCCAGATAATGGTAGACAGACTCAAGGTCAGCTGGAAAAAAGTCACTGCTAGGTGGGAACTGAAAAGAAAATTAAGAGGCTTCAAGATTCCAAACAGAGTCAGTTGTGGTGGTATACACCTGTAACCCCAGCACTTGGGAAACTGAAGCAGGAGGATTGTGAGTTCAAGGTCAGCCTAGGCTACATAGCAAGATCCTTCTTCAGAAAACCAAACCAGAACAAACCAACAAGGAAGGATTCCATGATTGTTTCTGTGAATCCCACGTGTGATCTCTGATTCCCATTCTCTCTCTCTCTGTCTCTCTCTGTCTCTCTCTGTCTGTCTCTGTCTCTGTCTCTCTCTCTCTCCCCCCCCCTCCTCCCCCCCTTTCTCTTTTGGTCAGTCATAGGGCTTGAACACAGGGCCTGGGTACTATCCCTGTGCTTTTTTGCTGAAGGCTAGAGCTCTACTACTTTGAGCCACAGCTACACTTTTGGTTTTCTGGTGGTTAATTGGAGACAAGAGTCTCATGGAAACCAGGTGCTAGTGGCTCACGCCTGTAATCCTAGTTACTCAGGAGGCTGAGATTTGAGGATCTCGGTTCAAAGCCAGCCCGGGCAGGAAAGTCCATGAGACTCTTATCTCTAATAAACCACTCCAAAAACTGGAAGTGGTGTTGTGGCTCAAGTGGTAGAGTGCCAGCCCTGAGCTGAAGAGCTCAGGGACAACACCCAGGCCCAGAGTTCAAGCCCCATGACTAACAACAACAAAAAAGAGTTTGCCTTTTATTGCAAGTAGGATCCAAGTGGCTCCTTAGCAGGGAATCCCAGCTGACCCTGCCGCCTGCTTTCTGTCTACCTCTCCCCAGATCAGCCTGTCCTCAGGGACTCTACTCCTGCTGCTGGGTATAGCAGCCCTGACCACGGGCTATGCTGTGCCCCCCAAGATGGAGACGGTCAGCGATGGCAGGTTTCCCACGCTGGATGTGCGGGCAGCCGACTACAACCGGGCCCTGAGCTTGTGCCGTCTGGCAGGCACGGCACTCTGCGGGGCAGCCGGAATCCTGCTGGCCGCCTGCCTCTTCTGGGCCATGACCGGCTGGATGAGCCAGGACCCCAAGGCTGAGCCCTTGGACACCGAAGCCGACAGCCACGTGGAAGTCTTCAGGGATGAGCCCGAGCAGCTGTCCCCCATCTTCCGTGATGCCAGCGGTCAGTCTTGGTTCTCCACACCTGCCAGCCCCTTTGGGCCATCTTCTGTCCAGACCATTCAGCCCAAGCGGGACTCTTGAGCACAGAAGCTCGAGGAGGAGCCCGAAGCCTTCTCCCCAGCACACCTCACTCCCCTGTCATCCCCCCAACTTCTCCTTTTGCAGGACCCTTCTATCCAAGCCCCCAGAAGGCCCAACTCTGGATCAGTTCTGGAGTCCTAATCCAGCCCCTTCCCCAGGAATAGGATCCCAACCATCCAAGATGCCATCCTCTCTCAATCCCTCCCCAGACTTCCCCCACCCCAAGCCCTTTGGTGGCAGAGAACATTTCCCTCGGCCTCTCCCCACTCTTTCCTGTCTGTGACCTTGATTGAGCCCCTGCCCTTTCTGATCAGTTCCTCCCTTCTCTACTGTGAGAGGTCTGGAGGGGATTCCTGTGTGTGACATTCTGTCTCCGTGTGATAGAAACAGTTCCCTCCGGAGACAAAGATGGTGGTGGTGTTCTCATCGACTAGGATGCCACCATGGAGGACAGGCCCACTTGGACTTGCCCTCCAGCAGAGAATGAAAACATTGACCTTCTTTATGGTGTTTTCTCCTGCGTTGTGGCATGGAGCTCCACAGTCCAGTGCATTGTGGGCAATTAGTCCCCTCCCCGCCCCCTCTGTGTGCAGGTGAAGGAGGCTGACAGGTGTGTGTGGGGGGGGTCCCAGGTTCAGAGAGCATTGCAGAACCATCTGCAATGGGGACAGAAGCGGCAACTTCTTGGTTCCTCAGGGCCAGGGACTAGTTTGGTGAGAAAGATTAACCTAATGGTCCCAGGTGACTGCAAAGATACTTTGGGTACAAATATAAATGATCTCTAAGAGCCAGGAAATATAAGAAGTGGGATGTTTTGTCCCTTAAAGACCACACCTTTGGGACACCAATGCCCTTGGGTCCTGACCTTGACCCCGACCTTGACAAATGTGCTGTCCTGAAAGCCCAGCCCTTCGTTCTACAGGCTGCCAGACAGAGGCAGCATCTCTTTTCTCTGCCACTGGGGGGAGCAAGGATCTCATCCCTCCCAGTCTCTTCATTCCCTGAGGCTTCCAGAAGGTTTCAAGTTTTCCCCACCAGGCCAGACCCTTTGTACCCTGTGTCTCCTTCCATCCCTCCTCTCCCTCAATAAACAGCTGGGATGGATATTGCCTTTGCTTCTTTCTTCCTGGAGTGTGGAGAAGGGGGAAAGAAATACATACACTCTTATAAGGGTGCTTTAGCTGGGTGCTGATGGCTCATGCCTGTAATCCTAGCTACTTTAGGAGGCTGAGATCTGAGGAGCATGGTTCAAAGCCAGCCCAGGCAAGAAAAAAATTAGCTACCAGAAAACCGAAAGTGGATCTGTGGCTCAAAGTGGTAGGTTACTAGCTTTGAGTGATAAAGCTTTGGGACAGTGCCCAGGTCCTGAATTCAATCCCCATAACTGACAAAAAAAAAAAAAAAGAGTGCCTTAATCTGTGTATAAGTTTATTGCTTCTCATTTGCCTTGTCTCAAGGCTTTACGCTTGCTACAAGCACTTTATCACTGAGCCTCTCCTCTAGCCCTTTGTTACATTAGGTAACTTCGGAGATAGCACTTCGCCTCGGGCTGGGCTATGATCTTGTTTATAGGAAAACAGGTGATCCATTGCATTCAGCTTATTGATACTGGGGTCTCCCTGAGTTTTTGCTGGGGGCTGGCCTTGCCTTACAATCCTCCTGATCTCTGCCTTTTGAAAGGCTGGGATGACAAGTGTCAGCCACTATACTCCACAAGATAACCCTTTAAGAAGAGGGTTATTTTCCTTGATTTACAGGTTTGAAACTAATGATGAATAGATGGTGTCCTTCTCAAGCTTCTGCAGGGTGGAGTTCCATGCTGGCTGGTTTGGGCCATTGCTCTCCAGTCCCTGGGTGGGAAGGAAATCTCTCACCTGGAGAGGAATGTGGAGAAGAGGTGCTCAGGACCAGAACAGCTGACCCCTATTAACATGGACGAGGCCGTGTTCTCAGTGCTTGACCGGCATGAATTCACTTAACCCTGGCATCAGCTGATGAGGTCGATGGGCTCCCAGATTCCAGGCATGTATTTTCAACTGCATATACTTGGAGGCTGGATTTCAATTCCATGGTCCCAGACTGTCCTGTCACCCATTCCCCACCACACCTGTTCCCTACTGACCAACCTGGCCTCCTGCTGCTGCTTCTGCTGGGTCTTCCTCCATAGTTAGCCATTGGTCAGTTCCCTGACCTCCTTCAGGACTGAAAGATTATCTTCTCAGCCAACCGCCTGTTTAAACATATAGCCAGGCCTCTGAAGGTTCACCTTCTGTTCCACCTCTTTAATGCAAGAGCCTGTGCACCAACTCCACACCACCTGATGCTGCCTCGCCCCCTGGGGGGCCTCCTACTGACCCAGGGGATGACCTACCTCACCCTTGCTGGAGTGAACGGGGGTGGGGGGTGTCTCTGAGGGCATTGGTCCCAGGAACATTGCTCCTGGAGAGAGTAAAGTCCCTTGAGATGGGCAAGGGGTACATTGTTGGCTGCAAATGGAGAAGAATATTAGTATTCATCTAACCATGTGTGAAGCAATATATTCATGCACAAGTTCTGGAATAAGTTTGTTACCTGCCTGAGTGTGCACCAAAATGCACGGGGTACAAAAAAAAAGTCAAGGGGCTGGGAAGTTGGCTCAGTGGTAGAGCGCTTGCTTTGCATGCCTGAGGCCCTGGGTTCGATTCCTCAGCACCACATAAGCAAAAAAGAAAAAAGCCGGAAGTGGCGCTGTGGCTCAAGTGGTAGGGCACTAGCCTTGAGCTGAAGAGCTGAGGGGCAGCGCCCAGGCCCAGAGTTCAGGCCCCACGACTGGACCCAAAAAAAAAAAAAAGTCAAGTGTTAGTGGGTCACACCTATACTCCTTTGCTACTCAGGAGGCTGAGATCTGAAAATCGAGTTTTGAAGCCAGCTACAGCAGGAAAGTCCATGACACTCATCCAAAAGCCAGAAGTGAAGCTGTCAAGTAGTAGAGTGCTGACCTTGAGCAAAAGAAGCTCAGGGATAGTACCCTGGCCCTGAGTTCAAGCCCCAATTCCAACACACACACACAATATTAGGATGAGGTCTGCAGATCTAGACATGTAAACAGTGGGAAGGATGGAACTGTTGTGTAGTTGCATTTCCTCTGCTACTTTAAGCAGTTACATTTATTGAGCACTTACCAAGTAAAGACCAGGTTCAGGGGCTGGGAAGGTGGCTCAGTGGTAGAGCGTTTGCCTTGCATGCCTGAGGCCCTGGGTTTGATTCCTCAGCACCACATTAGCAAAGAGAAAAAAAGCCGGAAGTGGTGCTGTGGCTCAAGTGGTAGAGCGCTAGCCTTGAGCTGAAGAGCTGAGGGACAGTGCCCAGACCCAGAGTTCAGGCCCCACGACCGGAACCAAAAAAAAAAAAAAAAAAGACCAGGTTCTGAGAAGTGGAGTGTCACGTTGATGAGGTCCAAACCTGGTCCTACTCTAGTAGGCAGTGATGTGTACCTGTCATCTGCCACATAGATGTCCCGTGAGGGACACATGTGCCCTAGCACACACAATTCCCTGTGGCCTCAGACAGGTCAGGTCCTTGTAGGAGCAGCAGCTTTGTGTGGGTCTGTCACAGGTTCACCCTCTGCTGTGCGTGGCCCTAGGACCCTGGCTTGGCTCCAAGTCTCTGCCTGGCTTGGCATCAACATTGCCGGGAGCTTCCTGGCCTGGCCTCTCCAAAGCAACCTCTGGGCACCAGGCCATCAGGAACCTGGTGAGGGAAGAACTCAGAGGATTTCATAAACATCCAGCCATGGGACACAGGGTCAAAGCAGGAAAAAGAAGAAGGAAAACAGGATGTCCTCTGGGGTGTGGACCTGAGCAGAGTCCACGGGCCAGATGTTCAGCAGGGAGGAGCTGGGGGGATTTGACAGCTCAGCTCACACCCAGCACTGTGTATGAGAAGGTAGGGGAGCTTGGCAGCTTTGCTGGCTGCAGGAGGTTCTGAGGGAGGAGGAAGGAAGAGAGGGAGGGGAGCCAGGGAACGCACAGAAGGGAGGGAGGGAGGACAAGCAAAGGAATGATGGAATATGGGAAGGGTGAATGTATTTTTGCATGAACCTCCAATGGCTGCTCTGGCAGGGCCTTGTGGATACTTGCTGGGCCACATGGAGACAGCCCTGCTGGTGCAAAGCCGAGAGTTAGATCCACCCGTCAGACAGTGCTTTAGGACTTCTTGGGCTACAGAACTAAGACTTAATGCAAGGCTTTGGTTTAAAAACATTACTATCTGAGCCAGGAACCTAGCTACTTAGGAGGCTGACATCTGAGGATTAAAGTTTAAAGCCAGCCTGGGCAGAAAAGTCCATGAAACTTTTAGCTCCAATAAACTACCAAAAAGCTGAAAGTGGAGCTGTGGCTCAAATGGTAGAGCACCAGCCTTGAGTGAAATAGCTGTGAGACAGTGCCCAGGCCCTGAGTTAAAGTACCAGCACAATAAAAGGAAAAAAAATGCAATGAGTGGAAACGGTAAATGTTTTATGGAAAAAGCTGGGCATGGTTGGGGTGTCACCTAGGGCCTGACCTAGGGATAGGACATGGCCTAGGGAGGGGGTGTGGCCTACAGACAAGGAGTGGCTTACACATGGAATGGTATACAGACCAAGTATAACCTAGGAATGGGGCCTGGTCTAGGGATGGGGCATGAACTATGACAGCATGGTGTATAAACAAAGCATAGCTTACTGACAAGGAGAGGGGGTAGTTGGCTCCCATCTCTCTCTCTCCCCCCCCTCTCTCTTTCTCTTTTTATTGTTATTATAAAGGTGCTGTACAGAAGGGTTACAGTCACCTAAATTAAGAGTACATTTCTTTTTGGACAATGTCACCCCTTCCCATGCTCTCTCTGCTTTCTCCTCCTGTCCTCACCCACAAATTGTATAGCTCATTTCAACATAGTGTCCAGTGAGTATCACCGCTGTATTTATTCACCCTTTGTCATTTCATTTCTGGGTCCTCTTTTAAATTTCCAAAGACAGGTAA